GTCTTTTAGATTCCTTTTTTTTTTTTTTTTTTTTTTTGAGACATGTTTTCATGGCCAGACTGACTGGAAGTAGCCCAGGCTAGCCTCAAACTCTTGGTCCTCCTGCCCCTGCCTCCTGAGTGCTGCTATTTACCAGCATGTACCACCAGTCAGTCCTGAGGTTGGATTCCAATTTTTTTTTTTAAGACATTCTATAGAGTGAACCCATCATCTTTGCTCCTGGTCTAGATAGTACTATGAAACCCTTATATGACTGATGTTCCAGGATCTGATACTTGATACATATTAATACTCATTTCACCCTCAGAATGCCTGGTAAGATAGGTGACTGACATAGGTACTATTATCTCAAATACTTACATGAGGACACTAGAAAAAAAAGGAGTGCTGAGCCATCCCACTGTCGGCTATGCCAAGCCAAAAGTATGAATGGGGTTTCTTAAGATCGTTCCCAGATCAATCTTAAAATCTCTGCACAGAGGCAAGAGGACCCCAAGCTAAGGGGTGGCAGCTGTGTCATTCTTACTTACCTTGCTTTACAGTGACTTAGGATACAGTGCTCAGGGCATAGAAGGTGATACTGCTTTCACCTGAGGTATTTGCTGAGTTTATAAGGAAAAGGGATATTAGAAGTGGTATTAGAACTGGGCACTGGTGGATCACACCTGTAATCCTAGCTCCTCAGGAGGCTGAGATCTGAGGATTATGGTTCAAAGCCAGCTGGGGCAGGAAAGTCCATAAGATTCTTTTTTTTTTTTTGGTCCCGTCATGGGGCCTGAACTCTGGGCCTGGGCGCTGTCCCTCAGCTCCTCAACTCAAGGCTAGCGCTCTACCACTTGTGCCACAGCGCCACTTCCGGCTTTTTGCTTTTGTGGTGCTGAGGAATCGAACCCGGGGTCTCAGGCACGCAAGGCAAGCGCTCTACCACTGAGCCACCTTCCCAGCCCAAGTCCATGAGATTCTTATCACCAACTGAAGTGGTGTTGTGACTCAAAATGGTAGATTGTTAGCCTTGAGCACAAAAGCTTGGGACAATGCCAATGCCAATGCCCAGAGTTCAAGCTTCATGACTAACCAAAAAAAAAAATAAAAAGATGTTAATATATCACTTATGTCTGTAATTGTATAAGTGTATATAACCTAAGATTTACCATCTTAAGCTGGGTGTAATGGCTTACTCCTGTAATCTAGCTACTCTGTAGGTCGAGATTGGCAGGGTCCTGGCAAAACCTCTCCCAGTGAACAGGCCCAAAGTGGTAGTGTGCACCTGTCATCCCAGCAACTTGGAAGGCTGTATAGGTAGAAGGATTAAGGTCTGAGACCAGCACAAGCAAAAACATAAGACCTGCTGGGCGCCCGTGGCTCACGCCTATAATCCTAGCCACTCAGGAGGCTGAGACCTGAGGATTGCGGTTCAAAGTCAGCCCAGGCAGGAAAGTCCATGAGACTCTTATCTTCAATAAACCACTAGAAAACTGGAAGTGGTGCTGTGGCTCAAGTGGTAGAGCACTGGCCTTGAGCTGAAGAACTGAGGGACAGGGCCCAGGCCCAGAGTTCAAGCCCCATGACCGACAAAAAAAAAAAAAAAAAAGACCCTCCCGACCTGAAAAACAGTTAAAACTAAAAAGATGGAGTGGCTTAAGTGGTAGGTAAGCATGCCTAATTAGCAAGCACTAGGCCCTTAGTTCAAAAGTAAATACCAAAGGGGAAACAAAGGAGGAGGCTACAATGCTTGATAAGAAATGTACTCATTATCTTGCCCATGTAATTGTAACTCCTCTGTACAGTATTTTCACAATAAAAAAAAAAAATTACCTTGCCTGGGCATCAGTAGCTAATACCTATAATCTTAGGTATGTAGGTAGCTGAGATCTGAGGACTGCAATTCAAAGCCAGCCAAGGCAGGAAAGTCCATGAGATGCTTATCCCCAATAAATACTCAAAAAGCTAAAAGGGGGGGTGTGGTTCAAGTGGTAAAGCACCAGCCTTGAGTGGAAAAGCTTAGGGACAACACCCAGGCTCTGAGTTCAAGTCCCAAGACCACACCAAAAAAAAAAAAAATTACCAGTGTTTCACACCTGTAATCCTAGCTATTAAGGAAACTGAGAATTGAGGATTCTGGTTCAAAATCAGCCCAGGCAGGACAATCCATGAGACTCTTATTTCCATTTAATCACTGAAAAACAGAAAATGGAGCTGTGGCTCAAGTGATAGAGTGACAGCCTTGATCAAAAAAGCTAAGGGCTGGGAAGGTGGCTCAGTGGTAGAGCGCTTGCCCCGCATGCCTGAGGCCCTGGGTTCCATTCCTCAGCACCACATAAGCAAAAAAAAGAAAAAAGCCGGAAGTGGTGCTGTGGCTCAAGTGGTAGAGCGCTAGCCTTGAGCTGAAGAGCTGAGGGCCAGCGCCCAGGCCCAGAGTTCAGGTCCCACGACTGGACCCAAAAAAAAAAAAAAAAGCTAAGGGACAGTTTTATTTCTGTAATGCTGGGATCACATCCAGGGCATACTTACTAGTCAAATGACTCTCTAAAACTTCATCCTCCCAGGCTGAAATTCTATACCTATTAATGCCAACTCCCCATACCTCCTCCTCCAATCCCTAACAACCACCATTCTACTTTTTTTCCCCTTTTTTTGTGCCAGTCTTCAGGTTTGAACTCAGGGATTGGGTGCTGTCCCTAAGTATTTTCACTGAAGGCTGGTGTGCCCTACCGCTTGAGCCACAGCCCCACTTTCCTGGCTTTTTGAATGTTTACTGGGAGATAAGAGTCATGGACTTTACTGTCCAGACTGGCTTTGAACCTCCATCCTCTTATCTCAGCCTCCTTTTTTCTTTCTCTCGCTTTTATCATCCCCCCCCCCCCCCCCCCCCCCCCCCCCCCCCCGGTCGTCAGGTCTGAACTCTGGGCCTGGGCGTTGTCCCTCAACTCTTCAGCTCAAGGCTAGTGCTCTAAGGCTGGGAAGGTGGCTCAGTGGTAGAGCGCTTGCCTTGCATGCCTGAGACCCTAGGTTCAATTCCTCAGCACCACATAAGAAAAAAGCCAGAAGTGGCACTATGGCTTAAGTGGTAGAGCACTAGCTTGAGCTGAATAGCTGAGGGACAGCGCCCAGGCCCAGAGTTCAGGCCCCACGACCGGACCCAAAAAAAAAAAAAAAAAGTCTAGTGCTCTACCACTTGAGCCACAGTGCCACTTCCAGATTTTTCTGCTTATGTGGTGCTGAGAGATCAAACCCAGGGCCTCATGCATGCAAGGCCTGCACTCTACCACTGAGCCACCTTCCCAGTCCCTCTAAGCCTCCTGTGTAGCTCAGCTTACAGACTTGAGCCACTGAAGCTCAGGTACCATTCTACTGTCTTTCTTGCCTCCTTTTCCCTTCCCTCCCTCTCCCCCTTCCTTGTCCCAGCTACACTGGAGGCTGAGGCAAGAAAGCTTTAACAACACAAGAGAGATACCATCTCAAATAAGGGGTGGGGGAGAAGAGCCTGGAAGTACAAGAAGGCTCAGCTTGAATAACAATATCAGGAAGTACTTTGCAGTCACAAGAGCCCTTCCTAGCCTTCTCCCCAGGCCCTCACAGGGACTACAGGGGCATCTTGCAGGCCACTTGGCATCTAGTATCCCTTTTGGGAAATGGTAGCTCATCAGGGATTGCCCAGGTTCCTCTAGCACCCTTCTGTCTGGTTGCTGGATCCAAGGGAGGCATAGGCTCCATTTTCTTCCCTGCCTCTTGGTGAGGTTCCCCTGTGGACAGACACCAGCCAGAACAGCATTATCCAGCCATCTGCTTTCTAACACCCAACATGTCAGCAAGCAAAGATTGGACTGCCCATTACCCACTTCACCTTTTGTCAAGAGGGGCTTGTTGGTCATTGTAAAATGAGGGAAGAAGAGGAAGTAGGCAAGAAGGATTCCTCCCTGTTTGGAAACTTCCCATGCCCTGCTTGCTCCATTGATATCTCTGTAACAGGAATGAAGTCACCCTAGCCTCTGTGAAGTTTTATGTGTGTTGCTGCAACCTCAAAGGAGAGTGAGCTGTGCTCTGGAGCAGTGCCAGGGGCAGCCAGCAAGGGCAGATTGGGTGGGTGGGAAGAAATAGTTGTCCCTGGGCTGTGCCTAGTAGTTTGTTTCCTTGAAGCTGATATGTTCCAAGAAGGTCCCAGGCTCTGAGTGTGTCCCTGCGTCTTTATAAGTGGAATAATGGATTATTTATTTATTGTATAGGTCCTGGGGCTTGAACTCAAGGCTTGGGTACTGTCCCTGAGCTTTTATGCTCAAGTCTAGTGCTCTCCCACTTGAGCCAAAGCACTATGTCTGGCTTTTTGGTGTTTAATTGGAGATAAGAGTCTCATGGATTTTCCTACCCAAGCTGGCTTTGAACATTAGATCTCAACTTCCTGAATAGTAAGGATTACAGGCACCCAGCATGGAATATACCACAAGGGTGCTCCTCAACAAGTCCTGGGATGAACTCTCTTGTGAAGTTTAGAATCCTTATGTTAGGCAAATAATCGTACTTTTATTTATCTGCCTTGGAAGTTCAGAGTTTCCTATCAGATCTCAGCTTCCTGAGTAGCTAGGATTAATTACAGGTGTTTGAGCAGCTGGATTTTGAGGGTTTTGTTTTGTTTTGTTTTTAATCACCCTAATGGTTCTGATTTAACTTTGCTTAGTGTGCTGTTCTACGTGCCCTGTTACCTGAAGGACACAACCTTTAATGCAACTTTCAGGTAGTTCAGAGAGGAAGACAGACATTCTCTCATCTCCCTAGATCTAGACTGTCTGACGCTGTTAGTGCAGCTCAAGCTCGTGACTGGGCTACACTTAACATGGCCTCAGATCTCAGTCATGCTTTGAGTCATGTTCCACTTACTAAGCCCCAACACTCTCATTCAGGACTTCATGGAGGTGATTCCTTTAAATGTCAGGTGTTGGTAAGGACACACATGCAGAGGATCAGCCTGATCTGAAACTAACAGTCTTCTCTTCTTTTTTCTCTAGAACTGGTCGGGTATGAAGTGCCAGTTCAAGCTGCTTCGGATGGCTGTGGCCTTGATCTGTAGTAAGTACTAAGACAGCAGGCTGGGGAAAATCCTGGCTCCAGGTCCTAGGGTTACAGAAATGCCACTGCACTTGTCTTTCAGGGGCTTGTGGTCAAGAAAAGGCCGAGAGGCATGTTAGTGATGGGTGACAAGGAGGGATGCTCTGAGTAAAGCCATCCCTCCACACTGCTGCTAAACCTTAATCTTTTATTTGTTTGTTTATGTATTTATTCATTTTTGGTTCTGGGGTTTGAACTCTAGGCCTGGGCGCTGTTCCTCAGCTCTTCAGCTCAAGGCTAGCACTCTACCACTTGAGCCACAGTGCCACTTTTGGCTTTTTCTGCTTATGTGGTGCTGAGGAATTGAACCCAGGGCCTCATGCACGCAAGGCAAGCACTCTACTACTGAGTCACCTTCTCAGCTCATTTCTTGGAGCTTTTTTTTTTTTTGGTTAGTCATGGGGCCTAAACTCTGGGCCTGGGAGCTGCCCCTGAGCTCCTCACCTCAAGGCTAACATTCTCCCACTTGAGCCACAGTGCCACTTCCAGCCTTTTCTGGTTATCGAACCCAGGGCTTCATGCATACAAGACAAGCACTCTACCACAGAGCCACTTTCCCAGCCCTTTCTTCATCTTGTTATGGACATAAACTATGCATTCACTAGCATCAATATCAAGGAAAACAACTTTTTGGGTCATAGAGGTGATACTTTTGAGATTCTCTCGTGGAACTCAGAAATCTCTTCAGAATATGTGTATATTGTATGGTACTTGTGTATACCTGCATGCACACATTTTTGCCAGGTGCTTATGGCTCATACCTATAATCCTAGCTACTCAGGAGGCTGTGATCTGAGAATCATAGTTCAAAGCTAGCTGAGCAGGAAAGCCCTGGAGATTTTTATCTCCAATTAACCAGCAAAATGTCAACGTGGAGATGTAGCTCAAGTGGTAGAGTGCCAGTCCAGCAAGCGTGAGTTTCTCAGGTCAAATCCTGGTAAGAGCAAAAAATAAAAAATAAAAATAGAGTTTAGCAGGTTTATAAACTCTAATCCATGAATCCTACCAAACAGGGTATGAAGGGGAGGTTGGATGGAGAGGTTCTAGTTACAGAGATTGTTTGAATGTGAAAGACAGCCAGATGTTCAATAGGCAGATGAGGTACAAGAGGGCATGTTGGGTAAAGGCGCAGCAGGAGTAAAGGTACATGAGTGGGCATGGCCAGCAAGAGGACTAGTAAAACTGACGAGTGGAGCTTGGGACTGTGTTTAGCTGTAATGAGAGATAAACAACATAGTGGTATATACTTGTAATCCCAGCTATTGGAGAGACAAGGGTGGAGTATGAATTTGAGTTCAGCCTGGACAAAGTTAGCTAGCAAGAACCTATCTTAAAAATAAATTATAGCTGGGCGCTGGTGGCTCATGCCTGTAATCCTAGCTACTCAGGAGGCTGAGATCTGAGGATCATGATTCAAAGCCAGCCCGGGCAGGAAAGTCTGTGAAACTCTTATCTCCAGCTAACCACCAGAAAACCGGAAGTGGTGCTGTGGCTCAAGTGGTAGAGCTCTCTCCTTGAGCTGAAGAGCTAAGGGACAGTGCCCAGGCCCAGAGTTCAAGCCCCACGACTGACCCCCCCATGCCCCGTAAAAAAAAAAAAAAGGACTGGAGGTGTGAGGGGTAGAGATGAGATAAGAGGCCACAGGGCTCATTTTGGAAAGGTAAGAGGTAAGTCTGACAGAGCGTCCGACGTAGGAAAAGAAAAGAGAACACATCCTCTTCTTTAGTCTTCAAAACATGCCTATGAAATAGGGTATCATTATCTCAATTTGCAAGAAGGGAATTGCAAGGTCAAAGAGTTAAGTTCTTTGTTGAAGGTCATTCAGTTAAAAGGAAATGAAGACAGAATTTAGAACCAGCCTGGGTAAGCCACTTGCTTTGTGAATAAGACGAAGTCTGGCAGATGGAGGTCCAGTTCTGTGAGGGATCAACTTTTGCCTCAACATTCCTTGTCTCTCAGCCCATAGCTTTCAGGGAAACTAACCAGCTCTGTCCCTGATCCACTGTGGAGCGCTCTGGATATGTTTTCTAGATGTTTCTCTAGTAACAGAGAAGCTTTCCCAGCCTTAAAACCTAGGGACTCTTGAGCCAGGACAGCAGGGGAAAGGAGGGGACAGAGAAGGAGGTGGGAGTGAGTAGCGCTTCCATGTCTGTCTGTTCAGACTCTTTATTTTTTTACTTACTTTTTTTGTCAGTCATGGGCTTTGAACTCAGGGCTTAGCGCTGTCCCTGAGCTTCTTTTGCTCTAGGCTAGCACTCTACTCTGAGCTGCAGCGCCACTTCCAGTTTTCTGGTGGTTAATTGGAGGTAAGAGTCTCACAGACTTTATTGTCTGGCCTGGCTTTGAACCATGATCCTCAGATCACAGACTCCTGAGTAGGATTACAGGTGTGAGCCACCAATGCCCAGCTCAGACTCTGGTTTTTATCTGATTTCCTGGAAGGAAGGAGAAGTATGTGTCTCATTATTTATAAAAGCTAACTCTTTTTTTTTTTTTTGTCGGTCGTGGGGCTTGAACTCTGGGTCTGGGCGCTGTCCCTCAGCTCTTCAGCTCAAGGCGAGCGCTCTACCACTTGAGCTACAGTGTCACTTCCAGTTTTCTGGTGGTTTATTGGAGATAGGAGTCTCACGGTCTCTCCTGCCCGGGCTGGCTTTGAACCGTGATCCTCAGATCTCAGCCTCCTGCGTAGCTAGGATTACAGGCGTGAGCCACCAGCGGCCAGCTTAAAAATTTTTTTTTTTAGGGTCCGGTCGTGGGGCCTGAACTCTGGGCCTGGGCGCTGTCCCTCAGCTCTTCAGCTCAAGGCTAGCGCTCTACCACTTGAGCCACAGTGCCACTTCCGGCTTTTTTCTTTTTGCTTATGTGGTGCTGAGGAATTGAACCCAGGGCCTCAGGCATGCAAGGCAAGCGCTCTACCACTGAGCCACCTTTCCAGCCCTAAAAGCTAACTCTTAAGTATCATGAAGGCTAAAGTTCTGGTTTGGTGTTGGGAACCATTGTCTTTTATACTTCCTTTGTTGACCCTGGACCCACTGAGAAGTCTGAACTGGGGTTGGAGAACTTTTTCACTGACTATTGGCCATCCTGCAGTTAAAGTGGAAGTGGAAGATACCTCTCTGCCCCAAGGAAAATAAGGTCCCTGGGAATTCTGGGCTCCTTGTAAGGTTAGTGTGGAGAAGTTCTGGTGAATTAAGGGTTACAGCATTCCCTCAAAGGGCTTTATTGCAATCTAGCAATTTTGCTTTGGTTTCCTTGTATGTGAAATGGGGTAAGTATAGATACTGTCAGTGCTCCCTAGGGAATGGGGAATGAATACTCATTCTCTCAAGGAACCACCTTCATCCTTATTTTGTTGAATGACCCTAAAAAGTTCACAGAAAGCTTTAAGGTGTAGCTCAGTAGGTTCTGAATTCAAACCCTAGTTACCAAAAAAAAGAGGAAAGAAAAGAAAAAAAAATAATTTTCTGGGTACTGGCAACTCATGCTTATAATCCTAGCTACTCAGGAAGCTCAGATCTGAGGATCATGGTTCAAAGAAAGCCTGGGCAGAAAAGCTTGTAAGACTATATCTCTAATTAACTAGCAAAAATGCATGTTAGAAGCATGGCTCAAGTAGTAGAGCTCCAGCCAAGCAGGTAAGCTGAGTGAGATTGAGAGATCAGGCCCTGAGTTCAAGCTCTCCTGTATTGGTACAAAAACACACACAAAAAAGTTGACAGTATCTTAGAGTTGAATAAGAGAGAAATTCTACAATTTTGTTGGGCTGAGGCTAGAGTTAGTTGATTTCTATTTGCTTTGACCCTTGTAGCCCTTCACCCCTCCCTCCCAAGGACAGAAGCACTGATCTCAGGGTTTCTGAGATAATACACGGAAACAATTTATAGATTGCCATGTACTAGGCAGTTGTGAATTATGTTTGACTAGTGCAGTCTGCCACATTGAGGCTGAGACTTTATATCAATGGACAGATGAGGAAACTGAGTCCCCACGATTCAATTTTGCCATAGAGGTACAAAAGGCCCTTGGGCAGAGCTGTGCCCTCTATCAAGAATGCCCTTCTCCTCAGAGTCTTAAGACCCACAACTGACAAAAGAAAAAAAGAAAGCAGAAAAAAAAAAAAAAAAACAGAAAAAAACAAGCTGGGTATCGGTAGCTCATGGCTGTAATCCTGGCTACTTAGGGGCTGAGATGAGGCTCACAGTTCAAAGCCAGCCCAGGCAGGAAAGTCCATGAGACTCTGATCTCCAATAGCCACCAGAAAACCAGAAGTGGCACTGTGGCTTAAGTGGTAGAGCGCTTTTGCTGAAGAGCTCAGGGACAGTGCCCAGGCCCAGAGTTCAAGCCCCACAACCAACAGAAAAAAAATGCCCTTCTCACCAGGCACTTGTGGGTCATGCCTATTGCCTGTAATCCTAGCAACTCAGGAGGCTGAAGTCTGAGCATCACAGTAAAAAGCCAGTCCAGGCAGGAATGGTGGCAAGACTCTTATCTCCAATGGACCACCCCAAAATTGGAAGTGGTACTGTGGCTCAAAGTGGTAGAGTACTAGCCTTTAGCAAAAAAAGCTCAGGAACAGAGCCCAGCCCTGAGTTCAAATCCCAAGACCAACCCCCCTCCACCACCAAAAAAAAAAAGTGCCCTCTCAAGGTTTTCTCTTGATAAACTCACATGTTACGTCTTGAGTAAGGGGGGTAGAGTTGTTCTACATTACTCTGTGAAGCATCCCCTTCCTTATACCAGTATTGATTTTACAGCACCCATCTCCCCTGTATCTGTAGAAATCATCTCATATAAGTCATCATTTACTGGTTTAAAGCCAGTTCTAGAACAGTTTGTCCCTTTGATTGCCATTCTTCCAGTGCATGTGTGGCACTTGGCCTCATGAAAGTGAATTAATTTAGGGGGGTGGGGGTAGAATGGCCAGAGTGTGGTCCCCTCCCCAGCCCCTGTCTCAAGCCTTCCTGTGATTTCTCTACCCTTCCTCTCCTTTCAGTGAGTATGGAGTTTGGACGGGCTGTGTGGCTCCGCTTCCACCCATCGGCTTATCCCCCATGCCCTCACCCTAGCTTTGTGGCACACTTGGGTGGCGTGGCTGTGGGCATCACTCTGGGCGTAGTGGTCCTGAGGAACTATGAGCAAAGGCTGCAAGACCAGTCACTGTGGTGGATTTTTGTGGCCATGTACACCATCTTTGTGCTGTTCGCTGTCTTCTGGAACATCTTTGCCTACACTCTGCTGGACTTGAAACTACCACCGCCCCCCTGAGGGGCTGGAGGACTGGGCTGGGTGGGGGAGGCAGCATCTAGAAGGGAGCACTTGTGTCTGTTTCTTATCACCAGCTCAGCGAGGCCAGGGAGAAAGCCAGCATGAAGACTGAGCTGCTATGGTATGTGTTTATACTGGGCAGACACTGGAGACTTTCACCTGAAAGGTGTTGATGGAGGTGCAAAGTACAGGTGTTGTCAATATTTTCCTAGGCTGCTCTGACATGGGGCCAGTGTGAATGCTTGGGGTAGGGTGAGAGTAACCATGCCCAGGGCTGGATTCCATGTTCCAAGTGCTTCCACATACTCCTTTCCCCTCATCTTCCACATTCAGAGACCCCCTAAAGACACGAGGAAGCCCTGAGAGTCGCTACAGCCAGGCAGCTCTTCCCCAGCCCAGAGATTTGGCAGGCCAGGCAGTGTTTCCCTCCACAGCCTGGGGTTTGGAGGAGTCTGGGATGAGAAGGAGGCCTGCCTGGTGGAGGCTATGTTGGCTTTGACCTTGGAACCAGGGTTTCCTCCTGGGCCTGCAATTGAGTGCTGGAACATGATCTTCAGGGCTTATGCTGAACATAGCAGAAGGATACTGAAGGCCAGTATGGTCTATGAAAGGGCCCAGTTTGGTGGGAGTAAACTTCATCAAGTTGCCTCTGAGGAAAGCCTGGAGCCAATTTTTAAACTTCTCCCTCTTTGCCATCCAAAGTGCTGGTATCTCACACTAGTACCCACATCTGTGCCCTGTGTAGACTTCAGGGTCTTTCTTTCCTTTCTGCTGCCTGACTCTACTTGGTGCCTCTCCTTTGGGCATGGAGAGAGAGAGAGAGAGAGTACACCTATGTGTGTGTACACCTATGTGTGTGTGTGCCTGTGTAGTGGCAAAGACAATATGAGGCAAGTTGGAGCCTACACAGGAAGAGCATGGGGAGACATTGGGGGGCATCCAGGGGCATCCATATAGGAGGAGAGAAGATACTGGGAAGGTTGAGCCATGGTGTGGGATGTATCCCCAATGTCTTGGATTTTGTTTTAGCACAGCTTGCCCTTGTGTTTCCCATCTCCTGTCCCTTCCAGACACTGCCCTGAACATGATGGGTATAAGAAAACTGTTCTTGATGAAGGGAGATGTTGGACCCTACCAAGGACTCTTAGGCTGCTAGGAGGAAACCTCTCAGCTGCTTTCCACTCCTGTTTCCCTCTGGGATGGTCCTATATCCAAAAATGCCTCCCATCGAAGGGACTTTTTTGGGGGGTGATGCCAAAGGGGCTGGGACAGGACTACCAAGGCCATATTGTAAATGAGGCTGCTGTAAAAGAAATTAACGGATGTAGATAACTGCTCTGGAGCATTGTTGGGCGTTGGGTAATTGTCGAAGGTGAGAGCAGCCCATAGACTCAAGTGCTTAGCGTTAAGTCCACCCTTGCCTTCATGTCACAGGCAGGAAATTTAGGGAATGACCTTGTCCATATCCCCGCAACCCCAGGTGTTAGGGTAGGAGTCTGGAGGGAAAGCTCTGACTCCCAGCAGGATCCCCAGCAGCCTCTTCCCACCTAGGAAGAGAAGGGATGCTCCAACTAGCACTAGCTGATGCTGCTGCAAGCCCAGAGTGAATATGTCAATGACAGAATATTCCCTTACAACTTCCTTGGTGGCTCTCAGCCTTTGATAAAACTGCTGGTCTGGGAGGTGAGGGACAGAGTTCATGCAGAAGCAAGTGCAGGAATGTGGGAACTGCCTTCCACCAGCACTACTCCCAGCAGAGCCCTTTGTGTGATGAGATCTGGAGTCTGCCAGGCCAGGCATTGGGAACGATGGCCACTGTAGCCTTCTGGCCTGGAGATTACATGGATATGGAAAGGATCTTTCTACCCAGGAACATGCCCACTCGCCACATTGTCTACCAACCCCTCCCTGATCCTTGCCCACAACTTGGTTGCCCTGCCCCCAATATAAGGGTCCTGCTACACTGGAGCCAATACCACGCTGAGGCCCCTTTGGCTGAGCTGTATCAGGCTGGAGACTTCTGTTCCTGGCTTGCTGTTCTCTGCCTGGAAGAGACAAGGAATGTATATGGAGGAATCAGATTCCTGGGAGAAGAGACTGAGGCTCTGCAGTTAGAGCCAAGATTTCCGTGAAGTTCAAGGGGGCCAGGACTTTCTCCTTTAGGCTGCAGCCTTGGCTAAGCCAGAGAGTGCTGTTACTTTCTAGGGTGAAGGGAAGCCGCTAGTGCCCTGCAGGGAATTTCCCTCTAGACTTCTATTTTGGCAGCAGGGACTGCTGGGATGTTTTTATCTTGTATGGTCTGGAACAAGCTGAGCAGGCTTTGAACTAAGAAACTCCACAATTCCTCAGGAAAGGGCCAAGTTCTTTCTACTGCAAGTTTGGTACTTAGAAGGCCAGCCTTGGTTAGGATTTCACCTTCTACCCTGTTAAGTCTCTTCTTCCAGTCTGGGATGCTGGAAGCAAGTCCTCTGTACATCTCAGGCCCCATCTCTACCACCCTCTCCTAACCATCCCTCCTAAGCAGGGCCATAATAGGGACAATAAAGTCACTTAACAGAAAGGTCTGCTTTTTGGTGTATGGCCTTTTCCTCAGTAGGTTTCCTTGCAAAAAGCAAGGAAGCCTACTGTATATTTCTAGAAGCACTTGAACACCAGGCCTCTAGCTTTGTTCACATATCCCATTCCTTTCTCAAATGTGGCTGCCAGCCAGGATGTTGGGATGTGAAGACCAATGGAGGTAGGTTGGCCTTTTATCCACAGGACAGCCTTAGAGTCTTTAAACAGGAGAGAAACCACAGAAAATGGAGAAGGGAAAAATAGGCCTTCAAAGGAGAAATTTCACTTTAACAGCACCATCTATCATTCCTTTTGTAATTAGGAAACACTCCCAAATGAGGCTCTTTTGCCAGCTAATGAGACTCTCAATTTCCATGCAAACCATTCTTGCCCAAAGGATTAGGGGAGCCATTGCTCACTAAACCCAGATCTTTCCTCAGGCATCCAATTCGGTTTGTAGATAATGTAGATTGCCTGGTACAGTGGGAGCTCTTTCTGCATCATTCATGTTGCTCTCAGGGCTGGCTGTTGAGCACTAAGCACCCATTCTCCTCTGCCTTAAAAACAGTGCCCCATTGTGAACTGCCCCTCTGAGGACCTTGTTAAGTGGGAAGAACAAAACACAAGCTGCAATGTTGGTTTCTAAATATTTTTGTATTGTGTACATTCTGTATATTTTTGTTGTAATATATTATTTGAGCACAAATTCCATTAAAGGTTGTTTTTGTGTGTGTGTTTTTGTCACTGGTTCTTTAGAAAGCGTCCTGAAGGGCTGAAGTGGGAGCCTGTTTCCTCTACACCTGGGTCAGGATGGGGGGTAGGGGGAAGGGTGATCTGTGAAATAGAGGAGGCAGTAGTGCTTGGCACCAGTCTTCCTGATTTGGTGGTCCTTCACCTGTCCTGACTCACTGAATTCTTTTGTGCGGTATGATTGCTCATCACATTAAAAAAGCACAAAATCATTTACATAAAAATATCTTGGACCACAGATATTTACACAAAACCTCAAGGACACTGAACATGTAGACATTGTCAGGGTATTTGTTAAAAGAGCCAGTCTCATGGCATCAGGCACAGGATCATCCTATGACAATAATGAACTTTGGGACAGTTGCTCAGAGTTCACTTAGACTCTTCACTGTGAGTCCTGCCAGAAGTAGTTTACAAAAACTCAACAGATGTCAACCCATTCCTACTTCCAATTCATCCTGGTTTCCAGAATCTAGGTATTTATGCCAAGTCGTCAGTCTGTGAGGCAGTTGGAGAACTGAGCTTCCTTCTCAGACCTCCAAGTGGTAAGACTCATTGAAGACACTGGGGTTGGGCTGGGAAGGTGGCTCAGTGGTAGAGCGTTTGCCTTGCATACCTGAGGCCCTGGGTTCGTATTCCTCAGCACCACATAAGCAAAAGAAAAAAGCCAGAAGTGGTGCTATGGCTCAAGTGGTAGAGTGCTAGCCTTGAGCTGAAGAGGTGAGTGATCAGTGCTCAGGCCCAGAGTTCAGGCCCCATGACCGGACCCAAAACACAAAACAAGACACCGGGGTTTCCTTCGATTGAGAAGACATGGCAAGGAAAATGTCCTAGAAACTGAATCTTTTTTTTTGGTCAGTCATGGGCTAGAACTCTGGTCCTGGGCGCTGTCCCTCAACTCTTCAGCTCAAGGCTAGTGTTCTATCACTTGAGCCACAGTGCCACTTCCGGCTTTTTTCTGCTTTGTGGTGCTGCGGAATGGAACCTAGAGCCTCATGCATGCAAGGGAAGCATTCTACCACTGAGCCACCTTCCCAGCCCCCTAGTAACTGAATCTTCTGAGAAGCCTTCAGGCTTTCAAAGCATCTGGCAAAGTGATCCTGAGGTGGAAGACAAACATTTGGTAAGGCTAATAATGAGAGGATGGGGCTGGGAAGGTGGCTCAGCAGTAGATTGCTGGTCTTATGCACCCAGAACCAGAGTTCAAACCCCATGACCAAAAAAAGAAAGAGCGAAATTAGGTAAAAATTACTTGCTTTGATTAGAAGCTATGCTTTATTATTACAAATATGCAGATGAGCAAATCATGAATACATGACAAATACACATTTTCCTATGTATTTATTGCATGCACATAAAACACTTATTGAATGAACAAAGACTTAAAACTAAAAACGCATTAGCTTACTAAAATCTGAATATCCTATATGCTTCTGGTCATGAGTTCTTACTTGTCTCATGACCCACAAGATATTCAGTTCCATCACATTTTTCTTCTCTAGAACAGTGATACTTTGTCATAGACTTAAAAAAAAAGCCTATTCTAATGTAGTGAGACTACATTAAAAAGTATATATATATATATATAAAATTATAATTATACCTCGCCTATATATACAAATGATTTAACACAGATAATACATTTGTCTACTTTATGATTACTTTTGTCAATTGTGGGGCTTGAACTCAGGGCCTGAGCGCTATCTGTGAGCTCTTTTGCTCAAGACTAGATCTCTACCGCTTTGAGCCACAGCTCCACTTCCAGTTTTCTCATGGTTAACTGGAGATAAGCGTCTCATACTTTTCTGCCCAGGCTGACTTTCAACGGTGATCCTCAGATTTCAGCCTCTTGAGGATTACAGGCGTGAGCCACCATGCCCAGCTACATTTGCTTTTAAAATATCATTTAAAACATACATCGTTGGATCATTGGCATATACATCTGAAAGTGAAAAATGTTTTCCAGACTCAAAATGTTGATGTCCTAATGTTGCTCATTTTAAAACAAACAAAAATTACAAGTAGGCAATTAAGTGCATTAGAAAAAGGCTAGATTCAAGAATAGTGTCATAAAATGGCTAATTTCTCATAGTCATCCTGAATGCTATAAAAGATGTTTAGATTTTCTTTTCTACACTGCCTATAATCCAAGTTATTAAACTTTAAAACCATATGAAAGCATTCACAAAGATCCTGAATTGTATTTCTCATTAAAGGAAAAGGCTGGTGAATCATGTCTCTAGTCTGACTTACATAAAGGAGAAAGCAGTCATTTGGGAAGTTAAAATTTAGAACTTGATGGGAACTTAGAGCAGTTAGAGGATTTCTGTTTTAGAGTCTGTGTTCCTTGGAGAGTTCTAAAGGCAATAAGAACACAGGACTTCTGATCTTCTAAACAAAAATCATTATCAAATGAATTTATTAAAGAGCTATGTAGAGTATGTGGCTACAGTTGAGAATTATAAATTATTAGACGAGGGCACTTTCAGTTGATTCAGAGTAAAACAGGCTGATAACAAAAGTACAAAAAAACCTAAAATCACTAACTCTGCTAAGACTTGAATTCCTTGTTATGGTTTGCTTATGAAATGTGTTTGTATTGTTTCTTTCCTAAACACCTTAAAAATCCCAGCATTTTCATTTCTCAGAGAGGTTGCTAAGCACTGGTGGCTCATGCCTGTCTTCCTAGCTACTCAGGAAGTTGAGATCTAAGGACTGCTGTTCAAAAGTCTGTGAGACTATTAACTCTAAACTACCCTCCCAAAAATCAGAACTCTGGCTCAAATAGACCATTAGCCTTGAGCAAAAGAAGCTTAGGAACAGTACCCAGGCCCTGAGTTCAAGCCCAGGACTGGTGTACACGCACACAAATGCATGCACGTACACATACACAAACAACTGAGTGAGAGCATGATAAGTTTAAGCCCTAGTTTTGGGACCCTTCCCCGCCCTCCCCCCCCCCCCAAAAAGGTGGTGTTGCTCATACCTCTATTCCCAGCTATGCAAACAGCATAAGTAGGAGTCACCATCCAAGCCTGCCTGAGTAAAGTGTGAGACCACATCCGAAAAATAACAATCTAAGCTGAGACCATATCTGAAAAATAACAATCTAAGCTCAAGGCTCTCAAGTTCAAACCCCAGTACCTCCAACAACAAAAAACAAACAAAAACCTGTTGTCAACAAATACCTGTAAACAAATGAATAAAGTGGTGATGGGGGCCAATTCTGCAGTAGCTTTCCATTACGCATAATGTTTTATCTTGAAGCTAGTGCATCTATTTTTAAAGCTCATTTAATTTCTTACATACTCATGATTTATTTGCATATTGACTTAAAAGCTAGCTTCATCATCCATGCCAAGTATCAATCAGACAAAAAAAAAGGTATCAAGCACACTCAGGATGCATAAATTGCTCTTTGAAATAGTATCACCGTGATAATCTCCTGACTATGATTACTTATGTTTGGAGGCAAGATCTCACTGTAGATCCCAGGCTAGCCTGACTGCCTGCAACTTGCGACTGACTTGCTTCTAGGTCCAGAGTGTTGGGATTACAGTTATACGCCACTTCCCCTGGCTGGGGTTACATTTTTTTTTTTTTTTGGTTGGTCGTGTGGCTTGAACTCTGGGCCTGGGCACTGTCCCTCAGCTCTTCAGCTCAAGGCAAGCGACCACTTGAGCTACAGCGCCACTTCTGGTTTCTGGTGGTTTATTGTAGATAGGAGTCTCACAGTCCTTCCTGCCCAGGCTGGCTTTGAACCGCGATCCTCAGATCTCAGCCTCCTGAGTAGCTAGGATTACAGGCGTGAGCCACCAGCGCCCGGCTGGGGTTACATTTTTTAAGAAAATTATTCAATCTGTTAAGAGACAAGTACTGTGCTTTTTCTGGAATGGATCATTTGCTGTATAATCTCAGGCAATAAATTCCTGAAGTTTAGAATAGGTCCAGCAATATACTTAAAATTCTACAACTCTAACACAGACCTATCTACAATTCAGTGAAGACATTCCTCAGATTGTTATGTTTAATTAAGTTAAATGGCAAAAGTGTAAAAAGAAAGAATCTGGTAGGTTTCAGATCGCCTTAAACAGTAACTCTATGAACAATGACAACTGATGATTCAAACAAATATACAACTTCATGAAGAGTTATTTCAAAACATGATCAAAAACTTCGGGGAAGAGACTCTTTCATGAATTCTTCAAGGACAGCTACCACACTTTTAGCTTCAGGCATTTCTTCATGTTCCACTTTCACAATCTTCAAAAGGACATCTCCACTCCCACAGTTCTTCAGGAACATATAACATTTGAACAAAGCATAATGGTTCATTTCTGCCTGCCGTATAAACCTCTTCAAATTGTTTGTGTCTTGTATGGCCTAGAAACAGATTGCCTGGTTAAATAAGTGTTTAGTGAAATAATGGAAAAAAAATAACCTCCTATCCAGTTGAGAACATGCTGTGAGATGTTAGCTTTTTAAATATTTCTATCATATTGAATTGAAACCCCTCTGTACAACTACTTGACGATACATTTAAAAAATTAAAGAACAAAAAGAATAAACTACTAAGAATAAATGTTTCCATCTTCTTTATTGCTAATATGCCTTGGCCTTGGTGTAATGAAAGTTTTACTTAAATTCAGTGAAATTAAAAACGTAGCTGGGCACAGGTGGCTCAGTCTTGTGATTCTTGCTACTCAGAGCATCGAGATTCAAAACCAGCCTGGGCAGTCTGTGAGACTCGTTATTTCCAATTAACCAACGAAAAACTTGAGGTGGAACTGTGGCTCAAGCGGTAGAGTGCTTAGCCCTGGGCAAAAAAAGTTCTGTAACAATGTCCAGTCCCAGTTCAAGCCCTGGACTGGCACCAAAAAAAAATTTTTTTTTTTGCTAAGGTGAGGACCTATCCCTATTAGAATTCTGTATTTTTTTTTTTTTTGTAAAACATTTGAGTATGCCATAGTAAATACCAGATAGCAGCTCCCTAAGTGTAATGAGGAAAGGGGCCTGCTAACTAAAGCTCTAGGATGCATAGAGGCGTGTTTCTGATCTAGACGCTAATGGGGGCACAGCTACTCCCACCAGCGAGCCAAGACCAGCAGGTTCTCTCTGAGAGCTCTAGCATACCAGGCAGGATAAGGGCTGTGCCCAGGGCATGACTCTAGCCTCAGTCTGAATTACTTGCCTGTGCTTTGTGCTTTGTGCTTTGTTTTTGTTTTTTTTGGGGTCTGGTCGTGGGGCCTGAACTCTGGGCCTGGGCGCTGTTCCTCAGCTCTTCAGCTCAAGGCTAGCGCTCTACCACTTGAGCCACAGTGCCACTTCTGGCTTTTTTCTTTTAGGTTATGTGGTGCTGAGGAATGGAACCCAGGGCCTCATGCATGCAAGGCAAGCGCTCTACCACTGAGCCACCTTCCCAGCCCTGTCTTGTGCTTTGTAACTAAGGTACAACATAAATTGAAAGCTTGAGGTCCCTTAAATATAAATAACCATTCAACCCAATTTATTGGAAATGAAACTATTTACATGTAGAAGCTACTGAAAAATGAAGATAAATACCTTCTTATGATTCATATTTTAGAGATGGCCCATTTAATAATGAACAAAACAGCTGGAAAGCATATTTGTTATTCTATCACTGGTACAGATTAAAATTGTATGTGGCCCTTGACAGACTGCCAGTTAGCCAATAAACTAATTACCTTTAGCTTAAAGTTCTCCAGTACTTGTCTGAAGAGAAAAGGGTTGCCCCCTTCAGTACCATTTAAAAAAGCTTGCATCCAGTCCTCACAAAACCGGTTGCTTCCTATAAAATATTTTGGAGAAATAAAAGAAAATGAAACCCTACAAAGCACAAGTTATTTAAAAAACACAACTGCTTAAGACTTGTGTTGTGGTCTAAAAAGAGAGTGTACCTTACCACATGGCTAAGAAATACCAGAGTAAGCATGGTGCCACTGGCTCATGCCTATAATCCTAGCTACTCAGGAGATCTGAGGATTGCAGTTCCAGCCTGGGCAGGAAAGTTTGTGAGAGACTCTTATCATCACAATCAACTTCCAAAAAACCAGAAAGGAAGCTGTGGTTCAAATGCTAGAGGGCTAGCCTTGAGCACAAAAACTAAGGGACAGTGCCCAGACCCTGAATTTAAGACCCAGGACGATCACAAAAGGAAAAAAAATACCACAGTGGTCCACACTCCCCATAGGTCTGTCCGTAGTCACATCTCCCATATATTTTGTTAAACCTCTGCTGCCTAACTTAGCATTGTTACGCTTTACCAGTATTATTTCACACATGTTAAAACCTTTATGTATTTTTCTTTAATGATTGATCTACTAGATAATATGTTTGAGAGCTGTACTAACACAGTTGTGACTGCTCCCTTGCATGAATTAGCAATTTGTCAGTTTCCTGTTGATAAACATTTAAGTTGCTTCCAATTCTTTGTTTTTTTTTTTCAGATAATGCCTTTATGAGCATTTTTTCTTTTTGTCTCCTTGTGTACAGCCATGACTTTCTTTTTTTTTTCTTTTTTCTTTTTCTTTTTGTGATGGTACTGGGGCTTGAACTCGGGGCCTTTTGCTCTTTCTTGGCTTTTTTTTTTTTTTTTGCTCAAGGCTAACATTCTACCACTTGAGCCACAACTCTACTTCTGCCTTTTTCTGGTTAGAGATAAAGGTCTCATGGACTTTCCTGCCCAGACTGGCTTCAAATGTTGAATCTCCATCTTCGGAACTTAGGGTCCTGACTAGCTAGGATGTACAGGTGTGAGCCACCACTGTCCAGCCTATGTGTTTCTTTATATGCCTAAGAGTGGGACCCTAGGCCTCTCTTGATTTCCATGCACATGAACAAACTGCAAGGGGATATGTAGGTATTATGTGTTCAAAGTACAAAGACAAGACTCACAAGAGGTCCAGGAAGTCCACTCACCTGCATTGTGGAACTCAGGTTGGGAACCGCTGCAGTCTATGAGCACAGGCTTGTGCTGCTCCTCCGTCATGGCCATACACAATGATGTCATGGTGCCTTCATGAATGAGTCCTTCGAGACTGGCCACACTCAGAAACCTGCCACACAGAGCAAGTCCTTTTCCACAAACATATTGCAGAATGGAAGGAAGAAAGAAAGTTCATCCTGCACTGCAGGGTTAAAAACTTAATCAGGGGGCTGGGAAGGTGGCTCAGTGGTAGAGCGCTTGCCTTGCATGCATGAGGCCCTGGGTTCGATTCCCCAGCACCACATAAGCAAAAAGAAAAAAAAAAAAGCGGAAGTGGCGCTGTGACTCAAGTGGTAGAGCGCTAGCCTTGAGCTGAAGAGCTGAGGGACAGTGCCCAGGCCCAGAGTTCAGCCCCATGACTGGGCCCAAAAAAAAAAAAACTTAATCAGGCTAGCTGTACAAAAGCTTGTTGCTGCACAATCTTCATTACCTGTTAATGTCCCTCTTTGTTTTGTCATCTGATTCTTTAACCTCAACAGGAGTATAACTCAAAGCCTATAAGAGAAAAATAAAACATGATTGATACATACTTCTCATCTTTCCATGAGCAGCCACTTAGGATTAAACTCTACCTTTTTGCCTATGAGTTCTCCAGAGCTGTGTTCAAGAATGCTTGTTGACATTTTAAATAGGTAAGACCATTTTGGTGTTTTGTGTTTGTTTTCTCAAAATGTTTTGGAAATTATACATCTCTGAGATTATTTCAACTAGTAATTATTTTAAAACATTTTATCTGATTAGGAAACCTCCACTAGCATTTGCCATTCAATTCTACTTACTATTAAGCTCTGAGTAAATAGTGTGGTCTATCTTGACAGCAAGCATAACTTAAATGAATGTTCAGAGAAAAATGAACACAAACTCTGCCAAAGTGCTTCACCATTAAGAGACTACTCTTTGTTTGGGTGACACTTACAGCATGCAGCAGGAAGGTAAGTTTCTCCTGAAAGAGAAGAACCACCCTTTGAATTGGGCATACAACATCTTCAAACCAGCTGTTCAGATAGGACTTTACTTGGTTCTCCAGGCCACTTTCCTACATCAAGAGAGAATGTCATTTGCTTTAAGACCATATAAACCTTAGTGGACACCATATTCTTAATTGTAGCCTTGGTGTTAAAGTCAATTGGGACAGACATCGTTCCCGTTCACTCTCACCTCCCCAGTACCTGGCAGTGTGTCTGAAATACACAGAACTCAAGCTTACTGACTACAGAACAATTGAAGAAATGCAGAGAATTTGGTGTTATTGGTGTTTGAACTCAAGGTCTCCTGTTAGGCAGGTCCTCTATCATTTGAGCCACTCCCCAAAGAAATGCACAAAATCTGTACTGAAAATGAAAAGAAGGAAGGATACAAGTGACTCATCAAAGTATTGAGGCTGCCAGGCAGGTGTGACACCTGTAATCCTAGCTATTCAGGAGGCTGAGATTTGAGGGTTACAGTTCAAAGCCAGCCCAAGCAGAAAAGGCTGAGAGACTCTAATCTCCAATAAACCACTCAGAAAACCGGAAGTGGCTCTGTGGCTCAAGAGGTAGAACATTCACCTTGAGCTGAAGAGCTAAGGGACAGCACCCAGGCCCAGAGTTCAAGCTTCATGACCGAACAACAAAAAAGTATTGAGGCTGAATCCAACTGTCACGTTCCCCCAAAGGCTTTTTAGGGTGTGTGGCTCTAGGGACCAGTGTCGCACAAGAAGACCTCTTATCAGGGAGGGTAGCACCTCCACACTATAATCTTCACCTTTTTTTTTTTTTTTTGGGTCCGGTTGTGGGGCCTGAACTCAGGGCCTGGGTGCTGTCCCTCAGCTCTTCAGCTCAAAGCTAGCCCTCTACCACTTGAGCCACAGCACCACTTCTGGCTTTTTTTCTTTTTGCTTATGTGGTGCTGAGGAATCGAACCCAGGGCCTTGTGTATGCAAGGCAAGTGCTCTACCACTGAGCCACCTGCCCAGTCCCCCTGGCTCACTCTTGACTTCATCCTTTTCTTTCCTTCATTATCTTGTTTGTGACAAGGGAAAAGAACCATTACCACATGTAATTTATAAGAGTTATAACTTGTAACAATGTGCACGGTGAAAGCAATTTTTAAAAGGTCTGGATAATTTAATCAATATGGCTATATCTAATTCATAAAGGACTGATGAATAAAAATGGTACACTTCTTCAATCTTTGATAAGTTCAAGGGCAGTTATAATGTTGCACAGCATATTTCTGGTGCCAGCGACTGTGTGGACCATTAATTCTAACCGAAGTACAAATGTGATGTGCCTATAAATAAGAAAAGGGGCCGGGTGCCGGTGGCTCACGGCTGTAATCCTAGCTACTCAGGAGGCTGAGATCTGAGGATCATGGTTCAAAGCCAGCCCAGGCAGGAAAGTCCGTGAGACTCTTATCTCTAATAAACCACTAGAAAACCGGAAGTATCACTGTGGCTCAAGTGGTAGAGCGCTTGCCTTGAGCTGAAGAGTGCAGGGATAGTGCCCAAGCCCAGAGTTCAAGCCCCGCAATCAACAAAAAAAAAAAGAGCATTCTCTTCTTCACCAGACATGTCACTGAACTCAGTACATAGAATTTTTCATAGAGTCAATTCATCAAAAGCAGCCCTGTGAAACTTGCAGCACTCATGAGAACTATACAGTCTGGGCTGGGTGCTGATGGTTTGCACCTATAATCCTAGCTACTTAGGAGGCTGAGATCTGAGGATCACAGTGTGAAGCCAGCCCTGACAGGAAAGTCCATGAGACTTACCTCTAATTAAGCACCAAAAGGCCAGAAGTAGAACTGTGGATCAAGTGGTAGAGCACTGGCTTTTTGTGGATAAAGCTAAGGAACTGTGCCCAGACCCTGAGTTCAAGCCCCAGTACAGGCACACAACAAAAACAAAAAAATCCTACAGTCTACCTGGATGCCACTGGCTCACACCTACAATCCCAGTTACTCAAGAAACTAAGTAAGACCTTAGAACCACAGTTCAAAGCTAGCCTGGGAGACAATTCCAAGAGTCCATCTCCAAAATAACCAACAAAAAGTTGAGCTAAAGGCATGAATCAAGTGGTAGAGTTCAAACTCCAGTACCATTAAAAAAAACAAAACAAACAAACAAAAAAACACCACCACACACAAGAAAACTCCAGCACCAGTCTGCTAACCCACAAGGGAAATTTTTAGA